GATCAATGGATCATTCTCAGCTCCCTAGATAATACAACCAAATCTGCCTTTTAGGCGCTAGAAGGTGAACAGCCACTTTACCATCTCATTCTACCGGGTACCCATTCACTGCTGGGTAAACAGAGGCTCATTTCGAACAAAGTCACATGACCAAGGAGTCACCACACGTGCTGCATATGCTTCAGTGTGGGGCAGGACCGAAGCCCTTGAAACTCTCAGGAGTGAAGCTTGCTGCACACAGTTACCCATCCACCTACTATCCGCCAGCGTTGCTTAACTTCGCCTGATTGTGACACGTGCGCTGTACACAGGCCCACGTGCCACCCCGTGACTACGAACCAACATTTAAACGCTAGTCTGGGGTTACAATATATGTGAATCAAATTCAATAATACTTCTCTTATTTGAGCATAGGCCCTATTAATGTATTGATATTTATCTGTAAATACGTAATGAAGCATTTTGTAACCTTCCGATGGGAGGCAATGACAGTTTCCTTTAACCTTTGAAACGTTTCAGATGTTGATAAAGGTAGAAATGATTGATAGAAGATTGACTTCTGATCTGGAGAACAGAATTAGGTTTTGACAAGGCCCATATCGCATTCAACATCGATAGCAACACTGCATTTTCTCGATCATATCGATGCTCATGATGCCAATCACTTGTTTGTCTGGTCCAGACTTGATTATTTACAGGCAGCTGTCATATAGCTGGAATATGGCTGAGTGCGGCGTTAAACAAGAAACAAACAAACAAAAGAAAAGAAAACCAACCTTGATCTGTGAGCACATCGTGGCTTATGTCATTCACGATACTATACTATACTATACTCCAGGAAGACTTTGATTTAATAGATACCTTGAGAGATTTTAATCCATCAGAAACCTTCTTGGCGGCAACCTAATCCCATAATTTTCTTTTGTAAAATGTGAAATAGAACCTAGTTTTTTTTCCATCTATTTGGATAACTCTCAAACTATCAGGCTAACGCGGGAAAGGCTTTTGGAAATTTAATAATGATCTTTTACGAGATCCGGAATGTGTCAAAACTATCAGAAACGTCATGGAAACAAAAGAACAGTACAATAATGTGGAAACTGGTGAGGATGAATTCATAATTAGCACTCAGATGTTTTAGGAATTCACTGTGCTGAGTTGCATCCCTAAGGATCAGCCCTGACGTCTTTGTTTGTTGGGCCGAGTTGCATCCCTAAGGATTAGCCCTGACGCCTTTGTTTGTTGGGCCATTGGTTTCTTCACAGTGGTAAAACTTAAGATGAAATTGTGTTTAACCTTGCGCTTAAGATTATTACACTTATATAGCGACGAACATATACATGTGTGTGTGTATGTGTGTGTGTGTTTGTGTGTTTGTGTGTGTGTGTTTGTATGTATGTATGTATGTATGTATGTATGTATGTATGTATGTATGTATGTATGTATGTATGTATGTATGTATGTATGTATGTATGTATGTATGTATGTATGTATGTATGTATGTATGTATGTATGTATGTATGTATGTATGTATGTATGTATGTATGTACTCGTCCGGACTGATGTTTAACATGAATACCCCTCTCAGACACAGCATACTGACTCCGAGCCGACCAGTCCTTGTTTTAGTCACTTAGTGCCGAGCGTCAGACAGGGTAACAAAAAGTACCATCTTTTAACGTCTTTAGGTATGACGCGGCCGGGGATCGAACTCAGGACCTTTCTCTCTCCGAGCGGACACTCTACCACTAGACGACGGAGGCGGTCTACTTGATAATGAACCTAATGATGAAGTAAACAAGGACTTCGTAATTGAAACTGAACTGATTAATGGGAAACTTGATGAAATAAGTGGGGTTAAAACAAAGGGAATGTAAATAAGATCAAAAGCGTTATGGCTGGAAATGGGTGACAAACTATTTAAAAATTTCTCAAACCCGGAAGCAAGGAATTTCACAAACAAAGCATACATGCGCGTTGAAACTGTTAGTGGAAATGTGATAACGAGATTCTGAATGAAGTGAGATCATTCTACAAAAAACTCTACACTAAACAAGAAGTTTGAAAAATTGATCTAAACAATCTGTCAGATACATTTCACATCCCTAAACTTTCTGACAATACAGCGGCGAAAGCAGAAGGGGAACTCAGTTATGAGGAAAAACAACTTGTGAAATCCTTAAAAAATGAAAAAGGTTCTGGCCCGGTCGGATTTACAGCAGAATTAATTACGTTATTTGGGTTAGGCCTGTGAAAGCATCGTATTCGATCTTTGAATGCAGCCTTTTGACAGGGTTGTGTTTGTGTCTGTGAGTCTATGCGCGTGGTATTTTTAACTTTCAAAGTTGCATTTTGTCCCCGATGTCTGTCATAGATTTCGAAACTGGTAATGTATCCGTTGTGTTTTGCCGACACATACATTAATCACCAACCACACAGGATGCCTATTACCGCCATTAACCGGAACTATGTACACAGGTTAGCCTTTGTCTGGGTGGGATGTGACACGTATCGTGAGGTGGATGTTTACTAGAGGTATGTGTGGTGACAAGGACCGTGACGTCTTTAACAAGTAAGCTACACACACAGGGAGATGTGATGACGAAACACTGAAGTTTAAACTTCTTTCTGTCACTGTCAACCAAAAGACCTAAGGTTGTTTTGGCTGATTGAAGTAAATTAACTTGAATATTTATTAAAAAATAGCTTTGGAAGCATTTAGTGGTGTTCACCGAGTAATTATATAATGTTGTATTGTCTATTGTATTGTATTGTCTATTGTATTGTATTGTATTGTGTATTATATATTGTATTGTATCGTCTATTGTATTGTATTGTATATTATATATTTATTGTATTGTATCGTGCATTGTATTGTATTGTGTATCGTATTGTATCGTGTATTGTATTGTATCGTGTATTGTATTGTATCGTGTATTGTATTGTATCGTGCATTGTATTGTATTGTGTATCGTATTTTATCGTGTATTGTATTGTATCGTGCATTGTATTGTATTGTGTATCGTATTGTATCGTGTATTGTATTGTATCGTGCATTGTATTGTATTGTATTGTGTATCGTATTGTATCGTGTATTGTATTGTATCGTGTATTGTATTGTATCGTGTATTGTATTGTATCGTGCATTGTATTGTGTATCGTATTGTATCGTGTATTGTATTGTATCGTGTATTACATTGCACCGCAGGCATCCAGGTACAAGTATCTGCTCAAATGAGGTTTTATTTGTTCCTCGACCAGTGGATCCGTTTGTATTCCAGTTATCATTCTCAACTCCATGGGGATTATATAACCCAAGCTGGCTACGGGCGCTAGAAGTTTTTTACATCCACCTAAAATATCGGGTACCCATTTCTTGCTGGGTGAACAGAGGCACATTTGAACTAAGTCACTTGGCCAGTGTGACACCACACGTTTTGACACTTGTGTTTCGGGGTACCAAGTAATGCCGTATCGAGTGGACCAACATGCTTTTTGTTTGTCTGTTGTTTTACTCCGCACTCAGTAATATTCCAGCTATGTGACGGCGGTCTGTAAATAATCGAGTCTGGACTAGACAATCCAGTGTTTGACATCATGTACATCGATCCACGCAATTGCCTGACCACCTGATCCCGTTAGTTGCCTTTTACGGCAAGCATAGGGTTTTACCCCGGAACTTCACCGGTCACTAACACGCAAGAGAGGAGGATGAGCGACGTTAAGTTTCATCAACTCGTGTCATTCTTGGACAAGCAGTATTGCAGGTTACAGAAAGAGGCGGGTGGTGACGAATGGTCAAATTTGTTCAAAAATAGAATGGTTGAAAATAGAACCCCAAAATACATCACAGACCACATATACACGTGCATGGACGTCTTTATGAGCGTAACAATCTTAAACGCGACGTTGATCCCTATTTGCCAATATTTAATAGTTAATATGGGTCTTTCAAAGGGAACAGTAGTAGAGCGACTCGTCACTCGGGTGTACAAGGTCTTCAAATAGTTGATACAAGAGACGTGGCTAACCCATTCATCACAGAGGATATATATGCACGATTAGGTTAGAATAGAGAGTGTACTCTCTGTGTGAAATACAATCACACGAGGAACGGCGAGATTTGCCCTTGTTACCTGCGCAAACAAACAGTGGAACCAGTTTAGTTTTTTGCTGAAATTGAGCATCACGAGAAGGTACATTCAGGCCTGCTGTCGCGGCAACTAGAACTACATCGGGCCGGTCGCGACATCATCGGCAATGACCCCAGATGGTCTCAAATTAACAACTGATTACTCAACAGAATGTAAGTCTACGCTTGCCATATGTCGCGTGGGTTCGCGTCAGCCAATAGACTAGCCCTGATTGATCACGCAGTTGAGAACGAGACAGACAGTCGAACAGTCTCGCATCTTTTCGGTCGTTCCCGAGATGTTTATCAAAGACTTTTGTTGCTGACTGTGAAAAAAAAGGAAAAACAATTTCCATAAGTGCAGAATTTTCGGTGGTTGTTTGAGTAATAATTCTGGTTATTCTGCTTCGTGTCGATGTTGGATATATCTGTCGACACCTAACCGTGTCATCACACGCAGGATGCGCAAACATTGTTATGGAAGTATTCTTTCTTCCTTTCTTCCAGTAAGTGGGAAGAGAAGAGAAAGAGGAAGAAGAAGAAAGGAAGAAGAGGAGGGGAAAGGGGATGAAGAAGTAGAGTAAGAAAAAGAAGAAGAAAAGGAAGAAGACGAGGAAGAGAATGGGAAGAAGAAGACGAGGAAGAGGAAGTAGAGAAAAAAGAGGAAGAGAATGGAGAGGAAGAGAAAGAAAAGAAAGAAGAAGAGGAAGTAGAGAAAGAAGAGAAAGAAGAGAAAGAAAAAGAGGAAGTAAAGAAAGAAGAAGAGGAAGTAGAGAAAGAAGAAGAGGAAGTAGAGAAAGAAGAGGAAGAAGAGGAAGAGAAAGAAGAGAAAGAAGAGAAAGAAAAGAAAGATGCAGAGGATAAAGAAATGAAAGAAGAAGAGAAAGTCGATAAAGAAGAAGAAGAGAAAGTCGAGAAAAAAGAAGTAGAGGAAGTAGAGAAAGAAGAAGAGGAGGTAGAGAAAGAAGAGGAAGAGAAAGAAGAGAAGAGGAAGTAGAGAAGAAGAGGAAGAGAAAGAAGAGACAGACGGAGAGGAAGTAGAGAAAGAAGAGGAAGAGAAAGAGAAAGAAGAGACAAAGAAGAGGAAGTAGGGAAAGAAGAAGAAGAGGGAGTAGAGAAAGAAAAAGAAGAGGAAGCAGAGAAAGACGAAGAAGAGGAAGTAGAGAAAGAAGAAGAGGAAGTAGAAAAAGAAGAAGATGAAGTAGAGAAAAAGAGGAAGAGGAAGTAGAGAAAGACGAAGAAGAGGAAGTAGAGAAAGAAGAAGACGAGAAAGAAAAGAAAGAAGAGGAAGAGAAAGAAGAGGAAGAAGGAGAGAAAGAAAGGGAGAACAGAAAGAAGAAGATAGAGAAAAAGATATGTCAACTTTATACCATACATTCATACAGAAACACAAACACAAGGACATTGTCAGTTTATAACAATTAATTTTTTTCAAGATTATATGTTATAAGTAATATGGTACATCTTTTAATAAACGTTCACTCTTAGTACCAAAACCTGACTTAATGGTATATATACTGGGATGTGTCCAAAAGCTTTAATATGAAGAAATAAATAGAAAGTGGAATTCATCCTCTATGCCGTAATTGCAAACTGGACATATTTCAGTGGTCTATCAATTATTGGCAAATATTTCCCGTCTTTGTTTTGAATTTTAAAAGATCCGTTCTAAATTTTAAAAGAATGTTGCTAAACTTGCCGACAGACAAGACTGAGACATATTTCTCTGGTGCTAATTAATTCTTAAATTCTTTATATTAATATTAACGTGGTCTTGAATTAACGAGTGGGTGACAGTTTTGAAAAAATAATATATATGACACATGCATCCTTAAATATGTTTTATGTGTAGAAGGGACATTTGATTGCACTTCGTTTGAGATACCCAGAAAAATCCAAAACCATGAGAAAAAAGGTTATGACCAAATATTAGAGTCCCATGTGTCCCATCCACAGTTATCTACACACGCTAACTTGCTGTATGCCTTTTCTGGTAATCTGTATCCGTGCATATGATACTGTTAGCCAATAGTTTATTGTTCTAAGGAGAAAGTTTACATAAATCGGAAAGCGACCTGTTTCTCCATATACTATAGCATTAGGAGTTTGCAATCCGACATTAAGAAACTTTACACGATAGTAGATGGATCAGTTTGTGAGAGAATTAGCTGTATTTGCGCATAAAATATCTTTTGAAAATACCGTTTTCGAAACAATGTCAATTTTACTTAAAGTTTCTATTAATTTAAAAAATATCCCCTCTTATCCCCTTATTGACTGAGTCTAACGTTTCCTGAAAAATTAAAGAGTAAACGAAAATATCTGTATCTGGACACAGTAAACTTACCTTTGTAATGTCAAATATCCTTTGTCGAAAACAGACCTGCCCGTTTAAATACAGTTTTTTACTGTTTTATCCAATATTTCAAGTTCCACTTATCGGAATGAGTTTCAAGAATATTTAATTGCGTCTGTAATAGCATTTGGCGCTGTCTGTTACTAAAACAACGTCATCAGCGAATAACAGACACAGTATTTGTAATATATCACATATTTCTAACGCATCAGGAAATTAAGAATATTTTGTCATTAGGAATAACTTCTTTTGACAATTCACTTATGAACAATGAGAAAGGTACATCTTTGACATAAACCATTTGCGCAGTCAAATATCTTGGTACATTTACGTTTCCTCCTTCACGGGATTTAACACATTTATGATTACTGATTACTTCTTAAAGCGTTCAGCACTTTATCATTCAGACTATGAAATCATAACTTATCCCGATTTACTAAATCGAAAACGTTCTTAAAAATCCACAAAAGCCAGATAAAGTTTGCATTTGTTTTTGCTTAGAACATTCTGTACTATAGAATGTAATGTACATTATGTGGTCAGTAAAATAACCCTGTCTTAAGCTGGTTCCTGGTATTTTAGTGAATGAATAAAAAAATGGAAAAAAAATGAATTGTCCCCTCCAAAAATTAAAAAAATTAATTATGCTTCAGACTGTTAAAAAATATAGAAGTTTCCGGCCACAAAATTAAACTGTGTGTGTTTCTTAAAAACATATTCAGTCTCATAGCTTTGAACTTTAAAAAAAATATCTGTTTTTTTATCTTTAGCTGGAAAAAATAACTACTTAGTATTCGCATACAAAAAAGCCCCAACAGATTTCTCATAAAACACAATTGATGATGATTGGTACCTCAGACATGTTATGAAAAAATCAATAAATTTTCTCTAACGGCACAATTTTGCAACATTTCAAACATGGTGGGGTCATGTAGTTGCAAATTCATTTCTTACCCCAGTCGTCATTGAGCTGTTTTATTTGTACACGAATTTACCCAGCCACAGATTACTTTTTAAAAACTGTTGCAGGAGTGAGCAATTTCCAATTTAAAAAACACACGCTAGGTATATTTTCTTTTGCCGCTCAGTTTAATACTCATGTAAATATGTATATATAAGATATACATTTTTTGAAAATAAATGGTGTACATTTCGAGTAGTAGAAGATACGAACCCCAATCGACGTTGTAAAAGAAGAAACAATGACAAACCAAAAACGAAATAAACAAACTTTACATAAGAATAATCTTCTCAGCTTCAACCGTTTTCTTGATTCAACCATATATATATTTGAAAAGTCAAAATATTTCTCATTTCCAGATTTCAGGATATTGTTGTTGTCTCACGATTCCCGTGTTGCATGCCATGGCTAGTAGATCTGCCGGGGAGTCAGCTGCTGCAGGGACCATTAAACGCCGAGAACTTGAAACAACTGCATAATGAAAAGGCTCTAGAAATCTGATAAAATGTACATTTTGATTTAAAGCCTCATTTATCAAGTTACAACTGAACTGTTTTTATTGTGGAAATTTAACATTTGCACGTGTTTGTTATGTGCTCAAGAATAAAGTAATTTATTTTCTATGTTTTTTTTTTAAAGTTGTATATTACCTAGTAATGGCACACACACGCTAAATCCGCAAATGTATTTTAAATCACATCTGTTGGGATTCAAATTTATTTTCGAGGTAAAATGTATTATTGTGAGCTTTACTTTTAATCCTTTCTCGTTAGGATGGTAATATTTGCCACGACGACAAAACATATTTGAAATCCACAGAGCATGTAACGCACGTGCGTCAATTATGATCCTTTTGTTCAATCACGGCGCCAAAACACACCTAGTACCCGAGATGTCTACTCGTTCAACGTCAAAACACATGATCGGATATGAATGGACTCATTTTATTTTTTCGTAAAACATTGTAAACAAAGATTAAAAACCATCATGAAATAAAAAACCACCATATTACCCGATTACCATTATTGCAGCTTACTAAGCGCGATGAATTAATTGTGTCATAAATTTCACAATTCCCGTAACGTCCACATGTTTGCTCTGCATGGGGTCTACGAGTCTACTCGAGTGTGACCGATGATGGCCGAACCGCTCGGATTTATTCGGATCTCCGTTCTTTATTGTTTGACTGATCGCGGTTGCACAACTCCGATGTTTGCGGTCCCAGGCTGGTCGGAATCGTCTGCCATACGTTTTTCATGGCGGCGTTCCTCGTTTCCGCAGGGCATTTAATTGTTCCTCCTGGTTTGGTTTTTGACGGAGTTCAGCGAGTTTCAAAGACGCGCTTGGTGGCAATGCGATTCCGTGTGACTAATAATCTCTTCGTCTCCCTCGGGGACGTGAGACGGCTTCAACGTCTGGGGCCCTTTCGACTGGGAAAGAAGAAGAAAAAAAGACAATTAAAAAATTCACAAGGAAGTAATGGGATCAGTCCAAAACATGATATGACAGAAGCGTTCAGATATAGAAGTAGGAGGTAAAGGGAACAGCCGTGCGATCTTCTACTGTTATAAAACTTCATTGAAATGTAGATTTAATTAAGCGACAAGGAATGTTTGGAGACGGGGGTACAGATTAGAATTTCGTATACAACAGATTATATATATATATTATTATGTATTTAGTGCCATGTGTAGTCAAGACAACCTCGTCCAACCTTTTTTTTTGTGGCAAATTAATATCTGGATGTTTTGTGAACAGTGCCGTTTTGAATGCATTTCGTGTACATTTTGTTTTCAGATAAGCGGTGTTAGGCTTTACGTACCATTTTAATATTAAGCGTACAAATCCGAAGGACATTGCAATAACAAAGAGCATCGGTGAATTTCAGCAGCACCTTGTTTTTACGTGTGTGCAGACAGATGTGAAAGTGCAGATGGGCGTCAAGATACAACAGATAACATGAAGAACTCTGATGTTGAAGTTTGTTTGGTTGTTTGTTTGTTTGTTGTTTAACGCCGCGCTCAGCAATATTCCAGCTATATGACGGCGGTCTGTAAATAATCGCGTCTAGACCAGAGAACCCAGTGATTGACATCATGAACATCGATACGATGACATGCATCAACCAAGTCATCGAGTCTGACCTCCCGATACCGTTAGTCGCATGGGTTGCTGAAGGCGTATTCTCTAGCCGGATCTTCACGGGTGCTGGTATTGTGGTATTAGTCTAGGGCAACCTATCTGGATAGATACGAATCATCTCTATTTGCCTACAGTGCCGATCGCCTACAGTAAAGCTGGTTTTTGGTGCCCTTTGCCTACACTATGAAAAATGCACCACTTATATTAATTGTGGACTTGTCCAAAGTATTTTGTATGTTATTATAACTTTACTCTCTGTTGGCAAACTGGTGAGTTGTTTGAGACAAGGAATGTTTGGAGACGGGGGTACAGATTAGAATTTCGTATACAACAGATTATATATATATATTATTATGTATTTAGTGCCATGTGTAGTCAAGACAACCTCGTCCAACCTTTTTTTTGTGGCAAATTAATATCTGGATGTTTTGTGAACAGTGCCGTTTTGAATGCATTTCGTGTACATTTTGTTTTCAGATAAGCGGTGTTAGGCTTTACGTACCATTTTAATATTAAGCGTACAAATCCGAAGGACATTGCAATAACAAAGAGCATCGGTGAATTTCAGCAGCACCTTGTTTTTACGTGTGTGCAGACAGATGTGAAAGTGCAGATGGGCGTCAAGATACAACAGATAACATGAAGAACTCTGATGTTGAAGTTTGTTTGGTTGTTTGTTTGTTTGTTGTTTAACGCCGCGCTCAGCAATATTCCAGCTATATGACGGCGGTCTGTAAATAATCGCGTCTAGACCAGAGAACCCAGTGATTGACATCATGAACATCGATACGATGACATGCATCAACCAAGTCATCGAGTCTGACCTCCCGATACCGTTAGTCGCATGGGTTGCTGAAGGCCTATTCTCTACCCGGATCTTCACGGGTGCTGGTATTGTGGTATTAGTCTAGGGCAACCTATCTGGATAGATACGAATCATCTCTATTTGCCCACAGTGCCGATCGCCTACAGTAAAGCTGGTTTTTGGTGCCCTTTGCCTACACTATGAAAAATGCACCACTTATATTAATTGTGGACTTGTCCAAAGTATTTTGTATGTTATTATAACTTTACTCTCTGTTGGCAAACTGGTGAGTTGTTTGAGACAATGTGCTGTTTATATATTTCCTCTCAACACCCAGTAGATGAAAAAAATGTGTTTTGTTCATAGTCCTGCTGTTGTTATCTGAATCTCATGAGCAGCCGGTGAACAAGCCAATCATGGAAAATACAGAACAACAATAAGAGGAACTCCAAACCTGGTAAGAGATTTAGCTGGAGCAACGTCTCGTCAGCCACCTGGCACATCTATAGATGCGCGTGGTGCCCACTCCAGTACCTTTATGATGCTGGGCGACTGCTAACACTGGACTGAGTGAGAACTGTAAATCTAATAGTGTGATCAATGTCCGCGAACAGTGTCTAATATTTGTCAGTGTCAGTGATGACTGAGTATGGCAATGATTTTACCATTTTAAATTTCAGTGTTAAAATGGATTCATTTTCATTGTAAGGATTTTACAATTGTCAAATGTTTTACAATATATAAAATACAAAAGTCCAAAGATGAGCTGTATAATTTACTCAACCAGCTTCACGAATGTGAATTATAATATTATATCATATTATATTATGTCAATTATAATTATTTTACATTATATTTTTTATAAATTTGTATTATGATAAAAAATATCCACTAAATATACCATAAAAGTATTCCTTGTTTGTTGAGAATGGCATTGCATGGATAAGTTACAGTAGAGGGATGAAGGCTTTGCTGTTGTGTGCCCTGAACCATGAAGATGGTTTGATAGTATTGTAGGAGTGAGTGAGTGAGTTGGGTTTAACGCCGCTTTTACCATTATTCCAGTTATATCACGGCGTGTCAGCTTGATGTGGGAGGAAAGCCCGAAGTGATGCAGGTCTCAGACGTTTACCACTTTGGTGAAACCCACGAGCACGGGTACGGTGCTGACAAACCATCGGGGCGAACCGGGATTCGAACCCACAATCATAGGTTTCTGGCGTGTCCAGGGGACGCAACTCTGCACAGCGAATCGCGGCGCCTTAGACGACTGGGCCACCCGTGCCCCCTACTATTGTAGGAAATGTGCACTGTAGGCACTAGGAGAAGTTACTGACGTTGATACCCCTTGAGAATACTCCGGGGCTGGAGAGGTCCCGTTACATTCAGTCAAAGTAGTCTATTTGTGTCTCACCATTTGTACATTAAGAAGACAAAACTCAGCGGAGCATGACGCATTAAAACACGTGTACAAAGGGGCTATGGGAGACAGTAAAGTCAAGAATAATTCTTGGTAAAAACTTAAAATTCTGAGAAGCAAGCATATGTACGCACATGCACATGTTTAAAACTTACACTAATAAGTAAACGTACATTTATCCGTACATACACATAAGGTATATGAGTATAAATACATAACTTAGCTTAATATACACCATTGAGAAGGGACAAGGAAAGGAAATAAAATAAGTAAATGAATATGAAGATAATAAAATTATACATCCCAGCTACTGTAGCGAGTGAGTGAGTGAGTGAGTGAGTATAGTTTTACGCCAGTTTAAGCAATATTCCAGCAATATCACGGCGGGGGCATAGGCCTGATCTTCACACATTGTGCCCATGTTTGGAATCGCGTTACAAGCGAACGCTTTAACCACCAACCTCAGAGTAAGTGTTGTTTTAAGAAATAGCCTATGGTCTAAATGATTAATTCTGTATGATATACTGTCTGTAATATACGGGAGTAATACTTTAAAATGCATGTATATAGTCTCGCTGTATTCCTCTGGAAAGCTGCGCTTCTATAACCTGGAAGACATCCTAGTCTCACCCAGGGCGTAAGGACAGTTTCATGAATATGGACTGTATAGGTTTTATATTTGTGTAACACATTGAATGTGTCACGCCTGTAAATTCATGTCATGTGAATTAATTCCGTTATTAGTTAAGTATATAATATGTTCCAAATAACCTAGTACCTATTTATCATGTGTATGTATTTTGTAAGAGATTTATAATCTTTTTACACTTAATCAAATATATGTACTTGGCTCTTACACCGCTGCTTACTGCACATCATAAGAGATGAGGTAAGAGTAAGATGTATATTATGTCAAACGGTTTGTACTACTGTGGTGAAGACTGGATTATGGGTGCGGTAATTTTTTTTATTATTCCTTTAATATGTTTCAGTGTGTAAAATATTTGATGTTCTTACAGTTACACTGACGAATAAACGTCTCACTCCCGAAGCGTGTTCGTCCATCTTGCACATTCACTGCCCTGCTAAGCGATCAACCACTGGTTCACCTGCCCATGTTTTTAAATATAGCTGGAACATTGCTGGCGTAAAACAACATTCATTCCACTGTTGGATCCCGCCAGTTTATCATGTTAAGTATCTAGCCATGGGCAAACTGCGAGAAATATAATGATTTACGTTTGGGTGGATCGAAAATCTGAAGGGTGAAACGAAGAAACGAATGAACGGAATGACAATTAATCCCAAAAGTTTGTCTGAAACGGAATTACTGTCAAATGCATGACACGTGTAATTATACAATTTATTACACGAACACCCTTGTCTATTATCCTTTAAAGCTCCTAATGGTGTCTATTAGCTTAATATTTACAACGCCAGAAGATTATCGTGATAACATATGTTTATCGACATGACCATCCCAAACAAACTTGCCTCACTACTTCCGGCAGTGGTAATATGCTTATAAACAACCACACTAACGATGCCACCAGACTTCTAGAGTGAGAATTGCAGGAAGCAAATTGTCGCAATATTGCAGTTATAAACAACGCGATCTTTTCATCTAGATAGAGGTTTGGGGCTAATATTGTAATCAAAGTTAATTACGTTACATTTGCCCTAGAGAATCACACGCATCCTTCCTCGCTGAGACAATCACATGCCTACTGAGCGCAGAAAACGAATAACTGCAGACAATGAATGATTTAGAATGTGAAGGCTGGGCCAGCCTCTTGTTATGTAGAACCGTTGTTATCAGGTATCAAGTCATCGCTTTCTGAATTATCTGCAAACTTATCATGACTTGAAACAAAGCATGTAAACGGGTTTTGCGTACGATGACATTAACATGTTCTAAGTTAACAGTTATAGAAAAAAAGATTTGGAAAGAAATATTTAAAAGAATCGAACGTGAAAAGTTTTACGTTTTGGGTTGAATTTGTTTAAGTATACACACGCAGTTAAAAGTCCGAAATATTTCAGGAATTCAATCGTGTTTAACAACGTTTTTCAACCAATCAGATTGTAGTACACACTATTGCTCGTGTTTCAACTTGTTATCGGAATGGAGAAAATATATATTTGACATATTGTCTTATATCATAAATTGTTTTTTTTCTTTGTTGTCGCACTCGGCATTATTCTAGCCATATGACGGCGGTCTGTAAAAAAATGAGAATGGATCAGAAAATCCAGTGAGCATCGATCTACTTAATTATCTAGATGGCATACATCAACCAGTCTGATCCTTCAGCGAGAACCAAGGGTTAAAATCGGATCCTGCCCTTGGGATTCGATACCTGTGCTCTAGAAGATGGCCCAGCGCGCTAAGTCGCTTTAAGGGACGCAACTCTTCCCAGTGAATTTAAGCGTCTTGGGCCATTTCCTAGATACACAGGTATGGCAAACAGAGGCACGGATATAACATGCACTACAAAGGACATCTACAAGTTCCACTTAATGATTAAGTTTTTCTTTTGTTTGTAACAGATATATATTAATAATACGTATGGATCTGCACTGTTACCTATGAATGTATGGATGTTATAACTATTGTGATAAGGTTATATGTCTTATGTATGATAAAATTAAATCAAATATATATATGTGCAAGTAATCTTAACGTCAGTCAGATATAGATAATGGTACGTTGACGTTAACGATGTACACGTGATACAAGGGCCTATTATAGATTGACTGTTGTGTTCTAGGACCCCTCCACAAAGCGATCTTAGTGCTACGACGTCGTAATTGCAGTCCTCGAAAAGTGTGGAAACTCCTATATGGGCTTAGGGTGACGTCCACAAAGCGGGCTTAGTGCAACGTGGATCGAGACGACCATACTTAACATAGCGTTAAGGCATACTTAGTGCTGAGATTGCTTTATTCACAGTGGCCTCGTTCCCCGGTCTTTACGTTTGGTGCTGCACAGTGTCTAGACCCGGTTTCACAAAAGGCTGTCCTCTAGCATAGATTTAAAATGAGCACAATACTTTTTGATAGCTTTGTTAGGGTCCTCGGTCCCGATATTAGCGTTAGGACGACCGTTACTCCAATATTGTCATATAGACTAACGACAATCGTAGGAGCTTAAATGCTTTGTAGAACTATCCTAACTCCGGCGCTTTAACATACACAGACATATATATGCATAGCTTGCCCATCAGTGTTTAGATAATGAATGTCTTCCCTTAAAGTGGTCGTGTCCGAGAGTGATTATGCCAAATAAGTATGTCAAAAAAGACATTGCACTTCCGATGAAAGTCTTTCAGGTCAAATAACAAGGGTGTTTTTTTCACGTGTCGAGTAAATGACAGCTCGCCAAGAGGGAGGAAGGACCTGGGAGTCCGCTAATTGCCTCATTAACCTGCTTGACCTGCGTGTTTACAGCTGACCACTGCCCCGGAGGGCCGCGAGAAGGGCTAGATGCACGTTCACCACGTGACGTTGTGACGAAGAACCACGTGCACTAAGATGACAAATATGGAAAAAATATTTCTAAAAATTTAATATTTATTCCCGCCTGCACATTAAACCAACAGTAAGTTAAATTTCAGAGAAGTAAAATTGATTTTTAAAATAATATTCTAAATATGAAAAACGTTAAAATTGTATTTTGCTCAATAACCTGTAGGCTCTCGTGTGTGACTAAACTGCCGGCCAAAAGAAGGTATTCACTTGAAAATTGGAAATCATATAAATGTTATCAAAACGTTACTAGGCTGGCAACAATCCCCGAAACACTGCAAACTTAAGGTCAAAAACACAAGTGTGGAACATCACCATCGAATAACCATATTTTGTTCGTTTCATTTTAGCCACTTTCAAACATGGGTGAAAACCTTTATGCCCAGCAGTCACACTTAGTCAAAGCTGCATATCACAAAAATGGCTTTGAGGAAATTGGGTTGCAAAACAATATTTTTTAAAGTGGTCACTGAATACTCTTGTCTGTAGGGT